GTTATAGTTAGTGAAAGAAGAAGTTTATTGTGCTGAGAGGATATGTGATGGGGAATCTGAGCTAGAGGAGCTTCTGAAGGAAGTGACATGTGAGTAAGATCTGAAGGATGAATAGGACTTACTGTGTTAGGAAACTTCAGGTATCATGGGATGCGGAAAAAAAAAAGTAGAAACTAATTTTAACATAAGCAGAATCGTGAGGATTATAGACGTTGCATGATTTTGAAAGCCCTTAAAAAATAGGTTACATCAAAACTGATAGTATGTTTGAAGATCACAACCCTACTAACTTCCTATTTTGTCTTATTTTTTGTTTTTGTGATATTCAGTTATTTATCAATAGACGTCACTCTGCAGCAGCTGGAATCATACTCCTTCTACAATATGAGTAAAATGACTTACATGTAAGTACAAAGAAAAGTGCAGCAGGGCCTCCAGCCATGGCCACTGTGACTGATAATGTGGGGACTCCAGATGGCAATGAGAGCAGGTTTCTAGCCCACGGGTCAAAACTACTGTTTATAATCAAATTCTGACTTGTTCTACTCTGGGTTTATGTTAATCCATTCTAATTATTTCTCATTTCCATGACTGGAAGTTGAAGATGACATTAGAAGCCCTCTTCCTGAGCTGTTATTTATTCTGTTACTATGGTATTTGCAGATTTTCTTGGTGTGTATCCAGCCACCCACTGCTATCAAGTTGATTCTCACTCATAACAACCCGATAACACATATAGACTTGTCCCATAGGTTTTCAAGGTTGTCATCTTTATGGAAGCAGACTGCCATATCTTTCTCCCATGGAGGGGCTGGTCGGTTCAAATTGCCAACCTGTATGCTGCTTACAAGAGTCATAGTTTAAATATAATTATATAGAAAGCTTGAAAGAGAAACGATAAAATATATAACATGTAATGAATAACCAAGAGAAAGTTAACGTAACTATACCAATACACATTAAAACACCAAGTTTAACATATATAAAAAGGGACAATTCATAATGATAATTACTTCACCAAAAAGATCTGATGATTATATCTGATGATGATAATATAATATAATGATTATATTCTATCTGAGTGGCTGTTACCAAGAGCAGTCTTGGCTCAGCTGGGCTGTGTTCCTTTTCCTTGTGACATTCTTTTCGACTACTTACTCAGGTCTGTTGCTCCAGAAATAGAGCAATTCAATAAATTGAATATCTATAAGAACATAGTTTCATATGATATAAAGCAGAAATTGATACACTAAAAAGAGACATAGACAACTCCAAAATCATAGTGAGTTTGTTTTAATATACCCTATCAATATAGCTGTGGTGGTGTAGTGCCTAAGGCATTTGACTGCTAACCAGAAGGCTGGCTGTTCAAACTCAAAAAATGGGAAGGCCCTTAATGAAATGGATTGACACAGTGGTTGTAATGATGGGCTCAGGTATAGCAAGTTTCGTGGGGCTGGCACAGGACCGGACAGTGTTTCATTCTGCTGTGCATAGGGTCGCTATGAGTCAGAGATGGCTCGACGGCACCTAACAGCAACAACAACGGGCCATCAGACTACTAAAAGTGCTTCTTACACATTGTCCCCCTTACATTGCTAAGCCTCAGTTTCTATTATGTAAATGAAGACAATGATACATAGTTTATAGGGCTCTTGCCCAAATTTATTTAACTAAGAAATTTCAAAGTTAAGTATGTTTGAACCCAAGTGTGTTGTTCTCCAAAGCCAATGTAACACTCTGTCTCTGTAATTAAAAGTTAAAATAATAATAATAATTAAACTCTCAGAAGTATTCTTTTACTCTTATGTGGATTTTTTTTAAACCATAAATAAATTAAAATTCTAAAACTGGTTAGGTAAAATATGTGACTTGTGATAGTGTTGTTGTTGTTTGTTGTTATGTGCAGTCAGACCCGACTCACAGCAACCCCTCCTTGGGTTTCCAGGCAGTATCACTTTGGAAGTAGATTGCCCAAACTTCCTTCCAAGGAGTGGCTGGTGGGTTTGAACTGCCAGCCTTCTGGTTAGCAGTCAAGTGCCTTAGGCACTACTTCACCAGATTACAACCTTGGAAACCTTGTGGGGCAGTTCTGCTCTGTCCTATAGGGTTGCTATAAGCAGGAGTTGACTCAAGGGCAGTGGTTTTGCTTGGTTTCAATTTAGTTCTGGTGGATGATCTCCTTTAAGCATCATTCAAAAAAAGAAATAAAAAAACCAAACCCACTGCCATCAAGTCATTTCCAACTCAGTGACCCCCATTAGGTTTCTGAAGTGGTAAATCTTTATGAAAGTAGCTTTGCCCTATCTTCCTTCCAGAGAAGTTGGTGGGTTTAAACCTTCTGGTTAGCAGTCAAATGCCTTAGGCACTCCTTCACCAGAGCTCCTTTCAAACATCAAGGGGGGGAGGGGGGGCAAGGGAAGGAGGGAAAGAGGAAAGAAAGAAAGGAAAGAGGGAAGGCATCTCCTCCTTTGTGTCTCCCCTCTCTCCTTGCAGACTCTCCTGCCGCTATTTCTCTAACAGTCCCCACTAGGTCGCCAGCCCTAGGAGCTCTGGCCTCATTGTGCCTAAGGTACTTGACTGCTAACCAGGAGGCTGGTGGTTCAAACCCATCAGCCACTCCTCGGAAGGCAGTTGGGCAAACTACTTCTGTATTAATACCGCCTCAGAGTCGCTATGAGTCAGGGCCGACTCGACGGCACATAACAACAACAACAACAACAGGTTGCCAGCCCTATCTGAGCGGCTGTTACCAAGAGCAGTGTTGGCCCAGCTGGGCTGTGTTCCTTTTCCTTGTGATATTCTTTTGGACTACTTACTCAGGTCTGTTGGTCCGGCAGTGGAGCAATTTCCAGATGCAAATTCTCTTCAGTTTTTGAACACTACTGACTAGTTTACAAACGATTGTCTCTGACAGCAGCTGGAAACTCTTTTTGCCAAATAGAAAGCTCTGGCAAGAAGCTGTTACCCACCATGGAAAAGGAAGCACTGCCCGGACAATCTGAAATCTCTCAGAGGAGGAAGGCGGGAGAGTTAAGAACTTTCAGAGCAGGGAAGCCGACTGTCCTGGTTTATCAGACATGTGGGATTCCAGGGGGACAGGGCTTTTTGTTTTCAACCAGGACAAAATTTAGACTTTGTTTAAGGTGGGTCATTCCATGCAAGGGCTTGTCCGTAAGGATCATGCTATAATACTACAGTAAACACAGCAAGGCAAGGATGTTGAGTGGAGGGGCCAAAGACTTGAGAAGTAAAAGGTTAATGCTTTCTGTTCAGGATTTGATGGGCCTTTTGAGAAATTCCTGTAATAAATATTTGTAATAATATTTGCCTGGGCAAGAGTCTCCTGGAATAGTCAAGTTATGCTAATGAAGACAATGGAACAGAATGAGGTTATGTTAATGTAGACAATAAGCTGTGTGGCACTAGATGGTTTCCATTCTCAGTTAAATCCATCCTATTTTCTTCCCTTTGCCAAAGGTCTATTTCATACTCAGCCTCTGTGGTCAAAATGCAACCTAATGGGTAAATTAGTAAGGACATTGCAGCACTCCAATACTAGGTTTCTAATGTCTGCTCTAACTTTCATTCTACTCATGAGAATAACAATAATAATAGCCATCGTATGCAGAGCTCTCACTGTGTGTCAAACCCCTTACAGACATTATTTAATCCTTACAAGAACCCTATGGAGTAGATGTGCTTTTATTGTCCCTATTTTACAGATGAGGAAACTGTGTCAAAGAGGTCAAAGAAGTTGCCCACGTTTATGTAGAAAGTGGCTGAGCCAAGAATTGTTCTCAAGTCTGCTTGACTATTCAGCAATCAATAGAAACAAACTACCGCAACACAGAGGAACCTCCCAGCCATTATGCTAAATGAAAGAAGCCAGACGCATGAGACAACATATTGTATGATTCCACTTATCTGAAACGTCCAGACAAGTCAAATTTATAAAGATAGAAAGCGAATTATTGGCTCATAGGCATAAGGATGGAGTGGAGATTAACGACAGTTGGTATAAGGTTACCTTTGAGGGTGATGGAAGCGCTCTAACACGATTGTGATAATGGTTGCACAATTCTGTAAATTTACTAAAAATCATCAAATTGTATACCTACACTGGGGGAACTTCATGGAATGTAAAGTATTCTTCAATACAACTGTTCTTTAAAAAGATTCCAGAGTCTGCATTCTGAGCCTTCTGTCCCCTTCAGAATCAAGCCCTACTCATTCCTAAGATGCTGTTCTTGAAAGGATAGGCTACAAATCTTGCTGGGCTCTTATATCCTCTTCATAAAAGCATGGACAGTGCCTTTAAGCTATTTATGCCAGTGTATATATGTTGAGTATGTTTAATTTTACCCATAAGAACCCATTTCTAAGAGTCATTGTGCTCATTAACAAACCATTTATTTCACTGAGGAGCCCTTGTGGGGTACAAATGTTAACACCCTACTCAGTGCTAACTGAAAACTTGGAGGTTTTAGTCCACCTAGAGATGCTTTGGAAGAAAGGCCTGGTAACATACTTCCCAAAAATCGGCCACTGGGAATCCTGTGGGGTACAGTTCTCTGACATGTGTGGGGTCACCAGGAGTCAGAGGAGAACCAACAGCAACTAGTTAGTTTCACAAATGCTAACTGTGCCTCTGTGATTGCTGTTGTTGTT